AAAAAAAAAAAAAGGACAGATCGGTGAGGAACACTACTGAGGGGAACTGAACTTGCACTGATGTGGCTGGGGCTAGCTTGCAGTGCAGCGTCCTAACCTATTGCGCCACCTGGGAGGGTCCTCCAAGTGTTTATTTCTTTAATGGAAGTCACAAAAAAATCCAGAGGATTGAATAGTCAAAAACCAGTATTAATAGTTTGTTTCTATTAGAATGGGGGAGGACAAAGAAGAATAGTGCTAGAAAATGAGAAGGAACTAGGACAGACTTACAGGACCATGAAAACAAATCTATTTTAAGAACTCTCTTCTAAAATATATCCCTTGAAGTTTTGTGGATTTTTTTTTTTTGTATTTTTTTTTATTGAGGTAACATTGGTTTACAAATCACTTATGATGTAGGGGTAATAGGCTCACACCGCTTCAGATATATATCACCCATACCACACACACCAACAAAGCATCAATAATCCTCCACTATAGTGCTTTTTCTGCGTCCCCTCCCCATCCTCAATGCAGCGATCAGATTTCTAGGATTTCTTTCAGTTTAGCTTTGTCTGTTCCTTGATTTCTTTCTATGCTGCACTGAGTCGAATCATCTGGTATTGATCTCTTTCTGCCTTATTTCATTTAGCATAATCCCCTCAAATGTTATCCATTTTGTAGCAAATGGCAAAATTTCATCATTTTTTATAGCTAAGTGGTATCCTATTGTGGTTCCATACCACATCTTCTTAATCCACACATCTGTTGTTGGGCACATAGGTTATTTCCATAATTTGGTCATTGTAATTACTAATGCAATGATCACAGGGGTGCATACACCCTTCAAATTTAGTGTTTTTGCATTCTTAGAGTGTGAGTAGAATCGTATTTAATATACGATCCAGCATTTAACATTCCTTTTAAATATCTTGTAAGACGGATAGCTGGCACTCAATACCTACCTACTGAATGATCTTATGAACAGTATTGAATAACTCTTAAACTTTATATGCATAAAAATCGTTTTATGTGTCAAATATTTTGTTTTGTTTTTCTCCAGCCATTTATTTTTGTTCAGTTTATGTTCAGTGCAAATCAGTTCCAAATACAAATACAACTCAAAACAGATGTACATTGTTCAGATATGTAGCAAAAAGGGAGTGTTCATTCTTACACATAGATCTTTGGGTATAAGTTGTATCTGGTTGTTGGAGATATGTTGGATCTGGTTGTTTCCAAGTAGGTTTGAAAGATAGCTAATACTTGCTTAAAACATATCAAGAATACTGTAGTTCATATTGAATACCAGATCATCAAAGTGTCAGTGTGCGACCATGTGAACCCAAGATTTCATGGAGTGTATGCTTCTAAAAAGGAACCTGTACATTGAGGCAGATGTAAAAGTTCTACTAGCCAGAATCAAGTCAACTTAGGTTTAGGACCAGATTGTAACTTGTCCCAGAGTGATATAGAATGTATTCCAAATGTAGGTATTCTAACTCATAATTTCATTATTGTTTTTTAATATTTACAGAAAGAGCACAAGAGTTGTGATTTTAATGCAACATGTTTCCAACCTACACTTGCCCAAAACCTCAAATATACTTTTACCTATTTCCTATATTTGTATCTTAATCTTAAGATTTGTCAAATTGGCCTTCAAAATAGATCACATTTTAAATTATAAAAATTATTCAACATCTACAGAAAAAAAAGCAGTATTTTAAGGTTAAAGTTCATGCCCATCTAATCCATAGAATCTAAATTAGTGACCCAAGTTAGCTAAATGAATCTGGAACGCTTTTTGGATAAGAATGTATGATACAAAATACATATCATTTGACTTTTACATGTATCTGCAAGAAATACCCCTGCTTGGATTTGTAGTAGATTCAAGTTCATCTTTGCTGCAGCACAGGCCAGTAACTACATAAAGTCAAATGCAGTGTCAAAGCAAAAACCCCAGAACAAAGGGTTATATTCCCAAGAGAAAACTTAAAGTGTAAAACTTTATGAAGGGTATTATATCAGCTCTAAATTAGAACTGTTCAAACAATCCAAAAAGCATTTAGAGTAATCCCTGGTGGTTCTTTCCAAAGTACACATAAATAGAAACACAGAAGCTTTTTATATTAGTTCATAATTTTATGGCCTTCTAGATTTAAGTGAAAACAAAGTTTCTATTCCACAGCTCATCCTTTTTTACAAGACTAAGGTGAAATTATTCATATTTTCAAGGCAGAGTTTTAAGTGTCCATATTTCTTGTTACATTTAATCACATCATTAACTTTTTTCAATGTTGTTTCTCCAGTATTGTTCATGAAAGTCCAGCAGATTTAATATTGGCATTTATTATTTAGTCAAGTCCTTCAGATGCTTGTTAAACCAGTCCAATTTGAAACTCCCAACATTTTCTGCTTAATGAATAGAATTAGTAGATTTGATGAAGACCTGTTTTCCCCTTGCTACACTGGACTTCTAGAGGTCACAAGGATTGGTAAACTATAGATGTTTCTTGATCTGACTCTTAAAAGTAGAAGGGCAAACAAGATCAAAAGGAGACTGACTGTTGGCTGCAGGCCACTGCTGGGCTGTGTTGTAGGGAGGGGTGAAGGATCTGGTGAGCTATATAAAGGTACGAATGACTGAGTCATAGGTAGCAACAGCACCAGAAGCAGCAGCCCCAGACAGAATAACCACTAGCCCCTTGCCCATGCTGGTGACTTGAGCTTTGGGTTAGGCTCACTGTTTGGTGTGCTGGAGGACCACAGGCTTCTGGCTGGTGCAGGGGTGGCTGGTCCTTGCAAGGGAGACTGATGCAGGGGAGGTAGCTGGAGGATCTTAAGTCAAGGGGCATCACAATGGCAGTGACAATGGGTAGCACACCCACCTGTGCTCACTACCCACCCTCAACCCCAGTCAAATGTTTTTAAAACAAAATACTTCAAAGTTACGTAAAGCCTAGAATTATAAACTTCTTTTTAAGCCATGAGTTAGAAGTCTATTTTTTTAATCTATTTTTTTAAGGCAGGTTTCCATTGTTTTTTTTTTTTTTTTCCAAGTGGCATTTTCTCTTAATTCTTAAAAGCATGTTTTTTGTTGAAAGTTGGTATCAAGGGGTATATAAATGTGAGAAGAAGTTTTTACATGGAGATAACCACTGATGATTTGGTATATTTTATACAGATAGGGCATACTTAGATACCTGTCTTTTATACAATAAATATTGTGCTACTGTATCTACGATTTCTGCTTAAAATTTTATTTTTCTGTCATAAAAGCTATGAAACCAATGACTTATTTACATTAACAGTTTGTACATGGGACTCTGTGGAGTTTTATTTTCACCTTGTTTTGTTTTGAAGTGTTCTTATGTATTTATAGAGAATTTGTTTTTAAAAAATGTACTATGGTGTTAGTTTTTGTTGTTTCTAAGTGCTGGGCATTTCTATATTTTCCAACTTTTTTTTTACATTGGTTATATGTTTCTTGTGGAGATTGAGCTAGTAGTTTTTTGAGGGGTGGAGCCAATGGATCTCAAGTTAAAAAAATAAATGAAAATTGTGTTTTGCAAAATATACTATAGAAAATAGACAGTAAAAATTAAAGAATAAGTACAGGAAGTTCATGGTTAATAATGTAGCACTTATCTAAATGGGAAGCAATCCTCTTGAGTGACTAGAATGAATAAAAATTCTATTTTTCATTGATATTAGAAATTTAGGAGTGACTCATAAAAAATTAGCACAATTTTTAAGAACCTCCTTTGTATTTTCTTATCTGACCAAGGAAAAACTTTAAAATTAGTCAACATGAAATAGCCTTTTATTTTTCAAAAATATAAATTTTTGTTTTATAGTCTAAGATGTAACAACTTACTTTCTCTTTGCTTTTCCTAAGCCACTGCTTCCTGCTTCTTCAGGAACCCGATTCTCTTTTTCAGAATCTTTAGGGGACAGTCTGAAGAATTCTCCAATTCCTTTTTGCCACTTGGGAGTTGGGCGCACACAAACTGGATTCCCTCCTGCATATTTATTTTCAGCTATAAAATATGAAAAGATGGAACTAAATAAGAACTAAGAATGTAAACTACAATTCATATAGGGAAACTTAATTATTTCTTTACCATCAAATCTTAAAGGTACTAAATGGTATTATATCTGTCTTAATGACTTAAAAAGTGTGACACAATGAAACTAAGAAATCAGTAAGATACTACACTATACATTATGCATTATAGTGTGTTGTGCATCTTATTTAATATAATGTGTAATACTTTATTACAGTTATCATTTATTATGGAAAAATAGCATTAGTAGAATTTTTACAACTGGACATTTTTCATATTTAATCCACAGAACATTCAAATTATACATAAAACATACTAAAATCTCACACATTTTTTGTAATGTAAGCAGCATTGTGTATAAAATGCCCATTTTTTTTTATTTAATAAGGTCATTTAGTTAAAGAACACATAAAAGGCAAAGCAAGTATACAGCAATGTCAAAGTTTCCACAGAAATAGAGCCCTCCCTGGTGGCATAACCGGTTAAAGCACAACACTATGAATCTGTCTGTAGCCACTGCAGCAAGAGTTTGATCCCTGCAGCACAAGTTCAATCCTCAGCCAGAGACGTGACCCACATGGCACAGCAGACCTCTCCTGTCTCACCTGATGATCTCTTCAGCAGTGTATTTCAGTAGATCTGCCTGTTCTGATTCCCATTCTGTCTCTGGTGAATTTTCTCCTCCCCCACACTTCTGGCCTATACCTCAGTTCTTGTATGCATAAATAAATAAATCTTTAAAAGTTCCACTTTCCAAAGCATTTGGTTCCATTTATCTTTTATTTCAAACACACTTGTCACAGACTTTAACTGTTTTACAACCTTGCAGAAGTTTTTTCCATGAGAACTGAATAATATTGCTTGTACTTCTTTAAAGGTACAAATGACCTTTAAAAAGCAGAGATCCTTTGATTCATAATTTTCCTTGGAACCTTACGGGAATGCTCCTATAACTAATAAGTATATACCAGCAAACTATTGGGCAATACAGGATTCAAACCCAACTCTGCTATACAGGATTCAAACCCAGCTCTGCTGGTTCAGTTGTATGACCATGCATGTAACCCAAGCTAACATTACCTTATCTTTAAAATGAAAGTGCCTAACAATTTCATACATTTAAAGACGGTAAAGTGCCTTAATGGGTGCCTTTGTTCCACACATATTCAGAGATTGATTAGCTGACTCTATTGGTTGCATAGTGGACAGTAAGATGTAGTCTTAATTAGAATTTAACTAAATGATACAGATATTCTCTATAAATTCATATACTTTCACAATTTTGACCTACCATTTCTTTTTATCTAAAGAGACTGAAATAATAAACATTCTCCTAATGAAAAGTTTAGAATTGGAAATTCTGAGCTAACTTAACCCATGACATCTTTAAAAGTGTTCCCTGTATCCTCTTCACTGGAATGTCTTGCCTGCTCAGCTTCCTACTGAAAGCAATGAGGCACCAAATGGCACAGTATTTTAATAAACTTTCCTTGCACAGAAGAAGCATGTGAAGCTATATTTCCCTGGCCCAGTTTTTGCTCTTACTGTCCCAAAGGCAGCTTCAGAGTTGGAAAACACACGCATAGACAAGGAAAGAGAAAGACAGTGGGTGGGTGGGAGAGGAGGAGAGAGAGAGGAAAAGAAAGCGTGGGAGGGAGGGACGCAGAGATATAAAGAAAAACATGCAGAATTGAATGTTTACACTTACAGAGACATGATTTACACAAAACTATCGTTCTGAATCTTCATCCAGCAAAAAAAGCACTTGCATAACCTCTTACAAGAGTAAAGTATCTGTAAATATTTAGAAAACTTAAAACGCTAAGCTGGAAAAGAAAAACAGATTTGAAGCTCAACGATGCAAGTCCCTAACCACGAGGTTTGAAATGCTTTTCCATGGGACCCCCACCTCTCTCTACCCCAGCCCACCAAAGGCCAAGGCCGCCTCCTTATATTCAGAGGACAAGTTAGAAATTCAGGTGTTAGGATATGGGGGGGGGGGGGGGGGCAATTCCATGATGGGTCAGAGCTCTCACGGGTCAGGAGAACTGTGGTGCCTGGCCTGAATCCCCTCCTACAGTTCTGTCCAGGAGCGCGCAGAGGTGCTTTATACCTTTTCTTGATGAAAGAGACGAGGAGTTGGTGGCAGAGGTGGAGGAACCCAGCACCTTCCGGGGGGCTCGGGAAGCCACCACTGCGAAAAGAGGCAAAAGGAAACGTTCAGAACTGGGGCGGGGAGGTTTGGACACCCAGTGTGGTTCTCACCACAGCCCCGAACCAGGCGCTTAGAAGTGTCCCTCAAGCCTCATCAGGACAACCCTCCCCTATAGGGCCCGCCGCTTCTTCTGGTCCAGGGGCCAGGCCTCTATTGTGTAGTGCTGGACAAGCTTGGACTCAGCTCCGCGGGGAGCCCCGTCCTCTCCAGCCCACGGTGGAGGGGGTGGGGGACCAGAAGACTCAGCCCTCCGCTATGGTGGTCGCTCGACAGCCTCACCTTTTCTGTAGGTGCCTGAGACACTGTCTGCTTTAGTCCGCACCATGTTCACGGGCGAGGAGAGGAGAGCAACCAACTGACTTGTCCGCGGAGGGTGTTGCGCTGGACAAGGACTCGGAAAAAAAACGAATCTCCCGCCACAGTTTAAATTGGTCGGTTTCCCGCGCGCTCCACAGACCCGCCAGGGCGGCAGCTTCTATTGGTTCAGCTGGGTTCTCTTGCCACCAATCTCTGGGGTCCTACGGTGGTGGCCTCGGCCTGGGTGCAGCGCTGGCCTGTCCATCAACTCCCAGAAGCTTGTGATTCGTACTCGCCCCATGTGGGAGGTGCCAGGGCACTTTCCTGGGTGCACACACTTCGGGGGGCTAAGATTCTAAACTGGGGAATCTAAGGTCGTTTAGAAAGAAGTCTAAGCGGAGGCTGAATTCCAACATTTCTTCCAAAGACCCCTAACTAATTTCTAAAAGTAAAACCAAAAGAAACGACTTTTCTTCGTTGCAAAGCGAAATAAAGAGAACTTGAATGCTTCAGACCCGAATACTCAGTGTAGCACGCATATTAAACTATTTCTGTGAAGCGGATGAAAAAGAAGCAGATGCAGTTTATTTACAAGATTGTCTACGTTTTTAGAATGTTGTGAACCTAACGAGGACACTGGGTTAAAAAGAAACTGGATAACTTTTTTTTTTAGCAAAGTTTTTTGTTTTAATAGTTTATTTTTACATCTTTTTCCATCTCAGTTGTAATCCCCTTGAGCTTCCCATCACCAAATCACCCGTGTGCCATCACCATGGTCCAGTGCATTTCCCTCCCCCCACCGTTTTTGATCCCACCCCCCACACCATCCCCTTAAAATGTCTTTGGTATATAGTTGTTCATTATTATTATTATTTTCTCACCTGGTCCTTCATACTCCTGCTATGAGTGAAAACATCCGGTATTAGAAACTGGATGACTTTTACATGCATATACACAGGAAAGAAACATCAATAAAGTATAGTACAGAGACCTGTATGGCCTCAGAAGCCCTTAAAAATTTGCCAGATGTGCTAAGGGTAATCCCTGGCACTTAGTGCGTGTACTCTAAAATGGGAGCACATGATTATTCTCTATCCCTATGCCTATCTTCTAATTACTCAAAATACTCCAGGGAGTGATTTTCACTCCCATGCCAAAAACAAGATTAGATAAGCTTCTCTTGTGATGAATTTTGTTAAATGCTCACATGAAAGACAATTCTGAAAGTGTATAACACCATGTTGATTTTCTTCAATGAAATATGCTTGAACGCTCACTAAAGATAGGATACTAGGAACCTAGAAAACAGGCTGCTCAGTGCTTTAACTGAATCAATAGTGCTTTAACTGAATCTTTGTGTTTAAGAATTAAAGAATTCAAACAACTGGCTAATTAACATTATAATAGGAAGTGTATTGAAAATTACCTGTATTTTGTTTAAACCCTGGAGTCTAAGATTACAGCACAATACCTACCAGAAAAAATCAACAAGCCCTAGGGAATTCCTTTGTCATTCCTCATTCAGCCTTCAGGGCATGGGGGTTTTCAGCCGAGGTAATTTTTCTTTTTTTCCAGTTAAAGTGGTTTCACAAAGTAATCTGATTCACTTGAAGTCAGAGATTATCTGCTGGTCTTTACCCCTAGTCCACATGCCAAGTAAATTGCTAGGAAGAATTGCAAGTAAATCTTTGTACAAAGGGCAATCTACATATTATTCAATATTGTAGCTGTGTTTGTTTTTCTGTTTGTGTGTTTATCTATTTAATAATGATCATGATAGTAAAAGAAACATTAGAAAAAAATAGGAAAACAGTGAAAATTCTAAATCTAAATGTTAGTTTTGCTGAAATTTTCCTTTACAGTTAAAAACAGAAGTTGTATAGCATGAAACTGAAAAATTTGAAAGCCTAGACCATTCAGAAAGCTGTAGTATGTAGTATGTGTGGATGAAATTTCAGTCTAAATTTATACAAGAGTACTTTTGTATAAAAGAATACTTCTAGCTTTGAAATCAAGTTAAATAGATATGCTTGCTTTGCTCAAGCAGAAAATGTTTTTAAATAATGACTATAAGTGGCATTACTTTACGTACATTAGGAAGCTGAGATTATAATCACTAATAGTTCAGTTATGAAGGAAGAACACTTATCCATGAGGACCTAGTCATTTCATCATAATGTTTAAGTTCGTGCTAAAAATGTTTTCAAAATTGTTTAGTTATGGAACTAAAAGGATATAAAAACAGATAAAAGATTTGGGTATAATTATTATTAAATGTAGCAGATTTTCATGTGGACAGAAAACCTGTACCAACTATTGATAAACACATAGACTCTTGCCTTTTTTTTTTTTTTTTAAGAGAATTGCATATTCAGCCTCCCTGGTGGCGCAAGGGGTTAAGTCGCAGCTATCCCCACCACTGCAGCATTAGTTCCATGCCAGACCAGGGAGGTGACCCACATGGCATAGCAGACCTCTCCTGTCCAGCAACTGTTCCCCTTAGAACCTGAAGTGCCTGTTCTGCTCCTCACTCTTTATCTAGTGAATCCTCTCACTACCACACCCTCCCACCTCTGGCCTGTACTCCAGTTCTTGTATGCATAAATAAATCTTTTAAAAATGATTACATATTTTATGATTTAATAACAATCTAAAGTGAATGTAACAATACATTTATATGATTTTCATAATTTTTACTGATATTTGAAGCAATGAAAATAGGACAAATCTGTGAAGGGCATTCAATATAAGGTAATTGCTGAGCCTAACTGCCTAATGAAGAAGATATAAATGTAACAAAAAGACACCAATTAAACTTATAGATTAAATATATCTGAAGACATGTTCTTCAGAAAAGTCTCGCTACTTTCCCTCAGTCTGTTGCCATGAAGTAGGGAATAGCAAAAGACCCTTAAATCTGGTCATCTTGAGTTGAAACAACTTTAATTTCCTTAAAAATTAAAAAATTAGTGCTCGCTTCGGCAGCACATATACTAAAAAATTGGAACGATACAGAGAAGATTAGCATGGCCCCTGCGCAAGGATGACACGCAAATTCGTGAAGCGTTCCATATTTTTGTGAAATAAGCCAGAAAGAGAAAGAAGAATACCGGATGGTTTCACTCATAGCAGGAGTATAATGGACCAGGCGAGAAAATAACAAAAATAATGAACAACCATATACCAGAGACATTTTGTGGGGGTGGAGTGAGGAATGGGATCAAAAACGGGGGTGGGGTGGGAGGGGAGAGAAATGCACGGGACTATGGCGATGGCACACAGGTGATTTGGTGATGGGAAACCCGCGGGGATTACAATCGAGATGGAAAAAAATATGTACAAAATGATGTAAAAATAAACTTTTGTAATAAAAAAATACAATAAAAGTTGAATGGTCAAAAAAAATTAAAAAATTAGGGTCCTCCCAGGCGAGAAAATAACAAAAATAATGAACAACCATATACCAGAGACATTTTGTGGGGGTGGAGTGAGGAATGGGATCAAAAACGGGGGGGGGGGAAGGGAGGGAAATGCATGGGACTAGGGTGGTGGCACAGGGGTGATTTGGTGATGGGAAACCCGCGGGGATTACAATCGAGATGGAAAAAAAAATGTGCAAAATGATGTAAAAATAAACTTTGTAATAAAAAAAATTAGGGTCCTCTCTGGTGGCATAACAGGTTAAAGCACAGCTCTATGAAGCTATCCCAGTCACTGTAGTAGGGAGGTGACCCACATGGCACAGTAGACCTTCCCTGTCTCAGCAGTCCATTGCTCCCCTCAGCCGTGAATTTCAGTAGATTCTGCTCCCTACTGTCTCTGGTGAATCTGTTACAGGGCACCCATTGTGAACTGGGGTGCCTGTCTGTTGGTCCTCACCCGCACGCCCAAAATTTAATTGTACTGTAGGCACACACAAAAAGGGTCAATAATGGATTTATTTACAAACGGGGAAAGGAAAAGGAACAACCCAGGGAAAGAGAGAGCGATACAAGGTAACTAGAACACCCTACCAGCTCTGCTGACTTGGAACTCCAGCCACCAGCCATGCAAGAGAGAGAGAGAGAGAGAGAGAGAGAGAATGGCCCACTATATATACGTATATCCACCCCCCTACATATACATATATCCCCCAAAGTCCCAGAATACCTGCTTAGCTCCGCCTTTGAGTCCTCGCAGTTCTCTCCTTGGTATAGCTGGGAGTTGTAGTTTTCAATCACTGAAGTAGGGGTAGAGCCCAGAAAGCTGGAGTAGGATGTGGAGTCCAGAAAACTCTGCAGAGTTCCTTTAGGACATCCTTCCCCTCTAACAAATCCTCTCAGTCCCCTACCCCCCACACCTCTGGCCTGTACCCCAGATCTTGTATGCATAAATAAATAAATCTTTTTTTAAATTAAAGAATTACATTTTTTAAATGAAGGATTTCATGTGAAGGGTCTTAATACAAAACCCAGCACTTTTTTTTTAAGATTTATTTATTTATTCATATAATTCATATAGAACTGGGGTACAGGCCAGAGATGTGGAGGGTGAGAGGATTCACCAGAGACAGAGTGAGGAGCAGATCAGGCAGGTCAATGAAGTACACTGCTGAGGGGAGCAGCGGGCGGGCGGGTCAGGAGAGGTCTGCCACACCATGTGGATCTGCTCCGCGGCAGGCGGGAATCGAACTCATGCGCAAGTGGCTTTAGCTTCTTAGTGCTGTGCTTTAACCCGCTGCGCCACCAGGGAGGGCCCCAAAACCCAGCACTTTTTATTAGTCCTTTCTCACCCCACCCCTCAAACTTGCTGAATTGTCTTCACTCTCCTGGAAAAGACATGGCTCAAAAAATTAAATAGAAAGAGATTTTAGCAGTGAGTAGTGAGTCCAGCTTCAGACTGTAGGGAGTACTAATAAAACCAGTACCACCAGAGCAAATTCTTAAACTTAAACTTGCAAGTGTTGTTTTAAATAAAACCTGTTTTATATAAAACCTGGACAGTTTAAAAGCTGACCCCTCAGCGTTGGTGTGTGTGGCCAGACCACAGTTTTTTTTTTTGTTTGTTTTTAAGAATTATTATTTATGGATACTCCCTGGTACCACAAGGTGTTAAGTCTCAGCACTATGAAGCTACTGGCAACTCCCGGCTTACTTATTTATGCATGCAAGAGCTGGGATGTAGGCCAGACGAGCTGGGGTGAGAGGATTCACCTGCGACAGTTTGGGGAGCAGATCAGACAGATCTACTGAGACACTGCTGATGGGAGCAGCTGGCGAGATAAAAGATGTTGCTTCGCCATGTGGGTCTGCCCCCTGGCTGGGGAATCCAACTCGTGCTTTGATGGCTGGCCTTAGCTTGATAACACTGTCCTAAATCCCTGTGCCATCTGGGAAGACCCCCTCAGATTTTGTTTCTCCCTTAAACTGTAATTTTTAGCTATTTGTGCTGTCTGAGCAGCTGAACTCTCGAGTTCAACATGTGTGGTTGTGAAAGAATCGCGCGGATGAAGATCTGGTACAAGAGTTAAACAAACCAAGAAGCCGGAAGAGAGGATACAGAAGGGTGGGATCTGTGCAGGTGCGTGGGGGTGGGGGTGAAGCTGTCACGTGGGGCGGTGCTGGCTGGCGGAACCTGGTTGATCAAGGTCAGTGTTGCGAAGGGGACTAGTATAGCGAAGGACGCGCGGCTTATGCTGCCCAGCTGGTTCCGGCTGGGGAAAATGGCGGCGGCTGGGGCGGCGTCCCAGGAGCAGCTGGTGGGCTGGTGTACTCAGCAGTTGCGGAAAACTTTCGGCTTGGATGTCAGCGAGGAGATCATGCAGTGAGACTGGTTTGGGTCCGAGGCGGGATGGAGCTCCGGGTTGTACACTGGTTGAGCGAACAGGAAAACGGGGGAGACTAAAAGTTAATTTGATTAAAGAAATATCATAGAAAGGCTGCTGTCTGTCTTTAAGGCGCAGGTTTTGATGTCCGGCTATAGTTTGTGGAATAGAGTTGCAGTAGGCCGGGGGAGCTTTTTTTTTTTTTTTTTTCTTTAGAAAAATACCAGATTGCTGGTAGTTAGACCTTTAAGACAACTCCAGGAGTCAGTTTCATTATACATTCTGGAGAGAAGGAGCTAGCCAAATTGTAGAGAGTCCTTACTCGGAACATTTTAGTTTTCCGGATCCGAATTGTGTCAAATAAGATCTAGAATGTCAGTGGGGGGCGACATGGTATTTGTAAAATAGCTCCTAACTCGGGAATCTATTTTCTGTTGTAATTTACCAGTTTTGGAACCCTGTCCAACTTAATTTCTCTCTTTAGTTTCCTCATCTATTAAATGAATAGCTATCTTTAATACTTTATAATTCTTATGAAATGGAGATGGTGACATGATTTAATCTGCTTTCAGATTAACTAATATTTGTTGCTCTACGACTTCACAGGTTCTGGGGCAACAATGATGGTTGGAACAATTGGGTTCTCTTGGTTGATGAGTGCTGAGGTGGGGACGTGCAGGAATGTTGGGGAGTACGGAATAAAGGACCTGATTTGATTTGATTTGAAAACTCGGGAGGTTTACCTCAAGGGATGACTTTTCACCTAAAGTAAAGGATGGCTAAATGGAAGTGCAGTGTTCAGTCAGAGGGGAAAAAGTCTACAAAAATTGTATTGATCAAGGAGCCTGAAAGTATATGTTGATTTGACTCCTTATTCATCGATTTTGAAACCTAAATTGGAATTGTAGGATTACTGTAGATGAGTTTCATCGTTTGGGAGAAAATAGACTTATAAAAGAGTTAAGAGAGCCTATTTAAAAGATTGGGGGCGCGAACAAGTGGAACAGACTTTCTAAAAAAACCTAGTCAAAACATTTTGCTTGATTTAATTTTCATTTGAAAGCAAGATCAGACTAATGAGTTTTTTTTATGCAGTAGAATGCTATCAAGTAACATGAGATTTTGCAATATGCCAAGCAAAAAAATCAGTTTAAAAAAAGTGAGGCTATTTTTGATATGAATTTATGAAGGAGATGGAGACAATGCAGTTTCCTCAATTTCAGAATCCAGTTGTATTTTAATTGTTTACACTGTATTAGAAAAATTCTAATTCTCATAGGCTGTAACAGTTCATTTTATAACCATAGGTTTTCCTCAGATAAACTTATTCACACTCTTTAAAAGAAGAGTGACCTGAAATTTGTTTTAAACTTCAAGCACTAGCAAACCATTCCATTTACCGAACTCTAAACAAAAACAATAAAGTTGAAGCACTAAGTATGGGTAAATACCTACAACCTGCTTGCATTCTTTATTTATTAATATGAGTAAAAGTCCAAAATTTAAAATAAGTACTAAAGTAACATAAAATACACTGAACAGCTTAGAATCTTTTCACTGGTTATTGCACAGGAGGCTATTTTTTCCACTGTTGGAAACTCTTTGTAACATTTCCTTAAAAGAGATCTGCTGGCCCTCCCTGGTGGCGCAGCGGGTTAAAGCGCAGCACTGAGAATCTGAGGCCACTTCCGCATGGGTTCGATTCCCGCCTGCCCCGGAGGTGACCACATGGCGTGGCAGGCCTCTCCTGGCCCGCCCGCTGCTCCCCTCAGCAGTGTGCTTCGTCGATCTGCCTGTTCTGCTCCCCGCTCTGTCTCTGGTGAAGCCTCTCGCCGTCCCTGAGCCTCTGGCCTGTACCCCAGTTCTGTATGAATAAATAAATAAATTTTTAAAAAAAAAAAAAAAAGAGATCTGCTTATTCTGATGTAATCTTGCTTTGATTTTTAGGAAATCAACTGACCAATTAAATCAATAGCTTATTAGGTTGTAATATATACTCATATTTTTAGCAAAAATACTATTGCAATATAAAAAGTAATTTGTACTGTTCCTATGAAAATATAATGACAGTTAATAAGTAGTTTAAGAAGCATTCTTATGTTAAGTATAGCTCCACAATCCTCTTTTCAAAACACTGATTTGATTCTGGAAATACAAGCTAATAAACTATTAGCTACCTAATCAAATTTATATCCTTAGCACATGCTAAAAATTTGGCGCAAAGTAAGTGCTGTAATGGATTATTGAATGGTTTTTACTAGTTTGATATCTAATTATTGAGAATCACAGCATAAGCTAACTTGATTCAACAACTTCTATCTTTGTTTTCTGAGGTATGTTCTGTCAATTGAGAGTGCTGAAGAGATTCGAGAATATGTTACTGACCTCCTTCAGGGAAATGAGGGCAAAAAAGGTCAATTCATAGAAGAACTTATAACCAAATGGCAAAGGAATGCTCATGAATTGGCTTCTGATGCTCCACATCAGACCCTCAAAAAAGATGGTAAGTTTAGTTAATGTAACTAAGTAAAGGTTGAAATATTGGTAAATGAAGTGGTTTATAGTATTTTATGTCATTCTGTATTTCCTCACAGCTAACTTAAGCAGAAGTTATGTAAGCATATTTTTAGTTCAGTTCTCATTCTGAAATGAATGACTTTTATAACTTAGGAACTATTACAAAAATACCTTTTTGTAGATACAAATGCTTCAGATCAATTTGAAAAATTCTACATGGATTAAAGAAATACTTTTCAGATATATGAATATGATAACACTTAGGACTATTTAGTGTAAAAGGTGGACACCAAAATAAATTTGTCTTTATTATTATACAATCTAAAATATCAGATTTAATTTATCTTCTTACATTCTAGCCAGCAGTCTTTATCACTGGCTACTGTCTTGAAAATAATGGTTTAAATTTCATCTTGAATTGAGAGGAAAATACAATTTAATTTTAAGATTTGTGTTCATATTGTGTTTAATTATTGCTTTTTTTCCCATTAGCTATTCCAGTAAATCTTGCTGTTATCAATGTATCTCTATATATGTTCTCCCCCTCTTCTTTCAAGAAACTTTAGATGGGCAGAGATCAGGAGACCAACTAAAGAGGAGTAGGCGGAAAGGGAGAAACAGACAGGAAATTCCCACATTTGCTGAATCTGATACAACTACTGAAGTCAAAACCCCTTTTGATTTGGCCAAGGTGAGTGCTGATAGAATGAAGCTATTTCTGACTGATGAGAAGAGGAAGTAACTGATAAGTTTCTTTTTTTTTTTAAAGATTTATTTATTTATGCATACAAAAACTGGGATACAAGGCCAGATGTGTGGGGGTAAGAGGATTCACCAGATACAGAGAGGGGAGCAGAACAGGCAGATCTACTTAAATACACTGCTGCGGGGAGCAGTGGATGGGATAGGAGAGGTCTGCTACACCGTGTGGTCACCTCCCTGACTGGGGATCAAATTCATGCTTCAGTAGCAGTGGCTGCGATAGCTTCATAGTGCTGCACTTTAACCCCTTGTACTACCAGGGAAGGCCCAAAACTGTACCATTTTAATACACCCATTTCACACTTAAATCCTTTTATTAGTCAGAATAAAACTGAGAGAGAGCTTCACAGGCTAAAGGAAAAACATACATAACTGATAAATAAAAAAAGATGTTTAACCTTACTAGTAATTAGAATAATCAACTTTTTATACTAATTTCATGGGACTTTCCCAGTTTTATAATGAAAGTTCCTTATCAATCCTGAGAAAAGCTGGACTTTTGGTTACTAGTAATAAATACTCAATCACAATTGCCTATCAAATTGTCAGAGACTTTGGAAATAGAATACCCAATGATGATGAAGTTATACTAAACGAGAAATCTCCTGATTGTTACTGGTGGCAATTGTAAATTAGTGTAAGCCTGTAAGAGGCAGTTTGACATCATGCATCAAGACTTGATTTTGTTATAAGAACAGTGGGAAGCCAGTGAATTGTTAAAGCATGTCAGAGCACATGCACTCTATATATGCCATGAATTTCTTGCTTACCCTATTCTCCCTTTCTGTTTTTCTTTCCTTATTCTTAGTAAATACTTATTGCTCAATTTAAGAGACCTCATAAAAGCACAGCCCTCAATCCTTTAAATACTTTATCTTAATGTAACTGGATACTTTAATAGGTATCATGTCACCCTTTTTTTTTCTTTAAGATCTGTTTATTTATTCATACAGACTGGGATACAAGCCAGAGGTGCAGGGGCAGTGAGAGGCTTCACCAGAGACAGAGTGGGAAATAGAACAGGCAGATCGATGAAGTACTCTGCTGAGGAGAGCAGCGGGCGGGTCAGCAGAGGTCTGCTGCACCATGTGGATCACCTCTGGGATTGGGGATCGAATTTGTACTAAATTGGCTGCGGCTAACTTGCAGTGCTGCATCCTAACCTGTTGTGACACCAGGGAGGGCCCATTCTAAACTTCCAAAGAATTGTTTTCTTGTGGTGATCCTCCCATCTAGTGAAACTCTTGATACTTTTCTTCTCTGAAAATTCAGCCTCTAAAAATAATTGAGAAACTTTTTAAAAAAGGTTTTATTTATTTATATATACAACAACTGAGATGTAGACCAGAGATGTGTGTGTTGTGGGGGAGGGATGGGCAGGGTTAGAGGACTCACCAGACAGACTGGGGAGCAGAAAAAGTAGATCTTCCAAATTACACTGCTGAAGGGAGCAGCGGGCAAGACAGGAGACGTCTGCAGCCCATGTGGGTCAGCTCCCTGTTTGGGGATAGAACTTGTTCTGCAGTGGCAAGTGATAGCTTGATAGCACTATCTGTAACCCTTGTGCCATTAGTGAGGAATGTAGTTGAAAAACTTATACAGGGAAAGTAAGACTGCAACAAGGGAAAGGCGTTTTTACTGTTTCAAGTGTCAGAAACTGAGATAGTCTGAATACTTGTGTCCCCCAAGAATACTTGTTGAAATCTTAATGCCCAGTATGGTATTAGAAAGTGGGATTTTTTAGCCTCCTTGGTAGCTTAGGGGTTGAGTCTCAGCACTACGACCATCAAGGCCCAGCAATGGCCTGGGTTAAATCCCTGGGCAGGACACTAACTCATATTGTGTAACAGACCTCTCCTGTTTCACCCATCACTCCCCTTAGTAGTGTATTTCAGTGGATCTGCTTGTTCTGTTCCCCACTCTGTATCTGGTGAATCCTCTCCACCCCCACTTACCTCTGGTCTACACTCCAGTTCTACACAAAAGTAAATAAAAATCTTTTAAAAACAAAGAAAGAAAGTGGGGCCTTTAGGAAGTTTTTTTTTTTGGAAGTTTTTAGGTAATGAGAATGGAACCATCATGAAAAAGGTCCCATAGTTCCCTGCTCCTCCCTGTTGAGGATAGTGAGTTCTGTGACCTACGACCTCACCAGTCTTGCTGATACTCTGATCTGGTCTTTGCACTTCCTGCCTCCAGAATTGTGAGGAGTAAAATTCTGGTTTTTACAAGTTACCCAATCTGTGATTTTTTTGTTTGTTTGTTATGGCAGCCTGAATGGATTAAGACAGGTTGAAAAATATGATTCTGTTTAAGACCTTTTTATTTTATAACATTCCCACAGAAGTAAACAGATCATTTTCCACATACTGACCACACATGCATAGCCAGAAACAAAACATTATTAGTTCTTTAGAAAACTCCCATTGTGTCTGAAAATGACAATCCTCACCAAGGGAAAGCTTACCTTTTTGACTTTCAGTGCCACAGATTAGTTTTGCTTGCTTATGAACTTTGTGTAAATTATGGTAAATATTATGTACTCTTTTCATTTAACCCTGTGTATGAGACTTGTCCATCTTGCTTTATATAGTTACACTTTTTCACTTTCCATTACTACTTAGAATTCTATTACGTGAGTATATCACTCTACTGTTGAACATTTGGCTAGTTTTCAGTTCTACTGCTACAGTAAACATTCTACATGTCTTTTGATGAACATATTTTTTCATTTCTCTTGACTCTCTCTAAGTGTTGAATTGCTGGGTCCTGGGTATATACATGTTCAACTTTAGTAGATGCCAGTTTATGCTGCCTCCTACATTGTACAAGAACTCTTAATTGTACTTTATCCTTGCCAACACTCCATACTTACTGTCTTTTTCAGTTTAGCCATTATGTTGGTATCTAGTGGCTTTGCATTATGATTTTATTTTGCATTATCTTGATGACTAGTGCAGTTAAGCACCTTTCAAGTGTCTTGACCATTTAGGCTTTTTCTTTTACGAAGTTCTCGTTTAGGTCTTTCACCCATTTTTTTTTTCTGTCATGTTATTTGTCTTCTCTCTGTTAAATCAATTGATATTGATTTTTTCCCCATATTTTCAAATCTGTGAATACCATTTTTTTTGGTGAATATCATTTTGTGAGATATTTTTGTTCCTTATGATCTCCAATTTAGCTCTGCTAAAATATGTCATAGAAACAGATTTCCCAGGGCTTCGCTGGTTGTGCAAGGTGTTAAGTCACAACTCTATGAAACAGTCTGCAGCCACTACAGCACAAGTTCAATTCCTGGCCAGGCAGGTGACCCACATGGTGCGGCAGACCTGTTTCATGCTCTGCCCCCCTCAGCGGTGTATTTAGGTCATTCCTCCTGTTCTACTCCCCATTCTGTCTCTAGTGAATCTTCTTACCCTTGCACCTCTGGCCTGTACCAAGCTCTTGTATGCAAAAATAAACAAATCTTTAAAAAAGAAAAACAGATTTTCCTACTACATTTACCCACCTCCAACTGTAATAGAGGTTGAAATCTACTAGCAAAAAAAGCAAGGTAATAACCTAGTTTTTCTAGAGTATTACCTTCCCTCAGATCCTTGATTATATCTCATTTTTATTCTACTCCCTCCCTTCTTTCAAGGTTCGTAGGTAGCATATAAGTTGATATTGAACAGAAATAAAGTTTTTCCCTTTTGACTATTTTCATTGTTATTATTACTTGATGTTATTTTGTTTATCTTTTATCTTTGTACATTAGGCTCAAGAGAACAACTCCTCTTTAAAGAAGAAGACGAAGTTTGTCAGTTTATATACAAAAGAGGGACAGGACAGACTTGCAGTCCTAATTCCTGGTCGCCATCCATGTGATTGCCTGGGCCAGAAGCACAAGCTGATCAATAACTGTCTGATCTGTGGACGTATTGTCTGTGAACAGGAGGGTTCTGGTCCCTGTCTATTCTGTGGTTCGCTGGTAAATTATTTCACTTCTGTTTTGTTATGTCATTCACATTCCTAAAAAGTATCTTATATTAATAAATTTCTTCCTTAAGATGTTCAGTAGGGCCTCCTTGGTGGTGCAAGGCATTGAGATGCAGTACTGTGAAGCTGTCCACAGTCACTGTTGCATGAGTTTGGTCCCTAGCCAGGAAGGTGACCCATGTAGTGCAGCAGATCTCTCCTGTCTTGCTTGTAGCTCCCCTTAGCAGTGTGTTTCTATCAGTCTACCTGTTCCGTTTCCCAATCTGTCTCTGGTGAATCCTGTCAGCCTCCATGCCTCTGGCCTATACCCCAGTTTGTATATTTGTATATGCATAAATATATATGTGTATATATATATATTTTAAGATCTGTTTACTTATGTATGCAGAACTGCGGTACAGAATAGAAGTGCAGGGACGGTGAGAGGATTCACCAGAGACTGTGCAGGGAACAGAGCAGGTAGATCTACCAAAATACACTGCTGTGGGGGCAGCCAACAAGACAGAAGAGATCTATTGCACCATGAGGGTCACCTCCCAGGCTGGAGATCAAATTCGTGCTGTAATGGCCATGGACAGATCCACCTGTGCTTTAACCCATGGCACCACCAGGGAGGGCCCCAATATAAATCTTAAAAAAAAAAAATGTTGTTCAGTAAACTCTAATAGCAGGAATTTAATTAGTCAAAAAATCAAGGCTGTATCCTAATACCAAGACCTGTTAGTGAGAAGAGTTTTGAAAACTTACATTGTTGAGGGATCTGTCTTTTTTTTTTTTTTAAAGATTTCTTTCTTTATGCCTACATGGACAGGGACAGGGGTAAGACCAGAGGTGTGGGGGTGAAAGGATTCACTAGAGACAGAATGGGGATCAGATCAGGCAGAGAGCTGCGGGTGAGACAGGAGAGGTCTGCCATGCCATGTGGGTCAGCTCCCTGGGGGAATGACCTCATGCTGCAATGGCTGTGGATTGCTTCATAGTGCTGAGACTTAAGCCCTTGCACTACCTTGGAGGTTCGAGGCATTTAAGTCTTATATTAAATTCAAGAAAATTATGGGCCTGAAATACCAAAATATTTTGTCAAAGTTATCAGATGTGACTCATGCTGCTAGGGAAACAGCCACTGTGACATAATTATAGCTTCTGTTTTCAGGATACCTCCTTTATCTGAGATAATGACCTCAAGAGTATTGCAATAATGACTATCTTACAAACATTGTAATGAATTGTCTAGAAAGTTTAGGCCAGTAGAGATTGGTTGGCAAAGCAATGGCATTTGGTGTTGAGTTGATGAAAGCACCCATTTTATATTTTTTGTTTTTCTTGTCTTTAATAAGCCTTTAATTTTTCAATATGCTCATAGAGTAAACTGATAGTAGATGACCTGAAAAATGGAGTGCCTATTATCAAAAATGTTAATAAAATGCTGTTGAAACTTTTTCCTTTGGGGGCTTTCTCTAGAGAAACATATCACAGCTGCTGGCAGGAAATTTTGTGCCACTGAGGCAAAGCCTAGGAAGTATGATGTTTTCTGTTTCCTTGATTGTTCAGTTCAGTAAACAGTAATATAAAGTAGATAGATCTTGAAGCCTTAATCACAGTATGAAATTGTTTTTAAGTAATCTTTTCTTAGCTCCTCTTTTTATAATTGCAATGATTTTATAAATAGAACTTTGTCTTATTTAATGTATTAATTTTTAAGTAGCTAATATGCAAAGGCAAAGAAACAATATATATAAAAAGTAGACTGGTTTCACGCATGGCAACATAATTTGCTTTTTCTGCTTCTTTTTACATAATTTGCTTTTTCTGCTGCTTTTTTATAAGACATTTGCATATATTTTCTCCCATAAGACTTGAATTTTATGGTTAAAAATGGAAGACTTTGGGAATCCCAGGGGCACAAAGGGTTATGTCGCAGCACTATGAAGCCGTTGGAAGCCACCTAGCTCAGATTCACTCCCCTGCCAAGAAGCTGACCCACATGGTGCAGCAGACCTCTTACTGTCTCATTTGCTGCTCCCCTGAAGGCCTGTTCCCTGCCTTCACTGTTGGTGCAATGAATTGAAGTGCGGCACTGCAAAGCTGGCCGCTTAATGTGCGAGTTGGATCCCTACCCCAGAGGTGATCCACATGGCACAGTAGACCTCTCCTGTCTTGCATGCTGCTCCCCTTAGCAGTATACTTGGTCAGTCTTTGGGTTCTGCTCCCCACTCTGGCACTGGTAAATCTGCCCCTGCACCTCTGGCCTGTACCCCAGTTCTGTAAGCATAAATAAATGAAATCTTTTTTTTAAAAAGCCCCCTGTTCTTCCCAGTCTGTCTCTGGTGAATGTTCTCATTCCCTGCACCTCTGTGGCCTATGCCCCAAATCTTGTTTGCACAAACGAAGAAATCTTTTTATTTAAAAAAAAAAAAAAGCCTCAATTTTTGTTCTTTGAAAATAGGTTAGATTTTTTTTCAAATTATCAAGTCATTCAGGCATACTTGCAATGAGATCAGTTTTTGCTATGCTTTATAAAAGAAACAAGAAGTAGAAAGAGATTAAGACAAAATGCATCTGGATATATATTTTTTGGCATGTTTGTGTAAAAAACCAGTCTCATTGCTGTATCTACTGTGTAATTTGAGGTATATCAAGCAAACTGTATTTTAAATACTGGATTATTACTTTATAGGTATGTACTCGTGAGGAACAGGATATTTTACAACGTGACTCAAACAAGAGCCAGAAACTGCTGAAGAAGCTCATGTCAGGTATGCAGCAAACTTCAGATTGGTTTATGGTGATGATGGATACATTTTTGTTGTCTTTGTGTTTTTTTCTCTTTCCTATACCCTGATATACAGGTTATTCATCACTTTTTCTTTTTTTTCTCCCACCATTCTACAAGCACTTTTTTTTTAGTTATTATTAAAGTCACATAATATTGAGTAATAAACTAATAATAGTGTTGGCTTATAGCCCAAAGATTAATTTACGAGACTGTATTCATATAAATAAATACGGATAAGTCAATATAAATATGGATAAGTCAATAAGTGGGAAAGAAGGGACAATTGTTTCTTATAGAATTCCACTTAAAAATGTGAAAAAAGGCGGCGAGTAGAACTCACCATTAGAACACAACAGTATTAGTGGATGCCACAGGCAAGATCCCCCAGTGGATGTGAAACTTAGTGGGTGAAAATTTAAGAACAGAATATTTGTAAGGTCATGAAAGACAAGGAAAGAATGAAGAATTATAGATTAGAGGAAACTGGAGAGACATAACAATGAACTGAAGTGAAGGCTCCTGAACTGGATCCCGGAATAGAAAAATGAATTTAATGGAAAAGTTACCAAATCAGAATAAAGTCGGACCTCCCTGGTGGCGCAGCGGGTTAAAGCACAGCACTGAAAAGCTAAAGCCACTTCCGCATGAGTTCGATTCCTGCCTGCCCCGGAGGTGACCACATGGCGTGGCAGACCTCTCCTGACCCGCCCGCTGCTCCCCTCAGCAGTGTTCTTCCTCGATCTGCCTGTTCTGCTCCTCACTCTGTCTCTGGTGAAGCCTCGAGCCGTCCCTGAGCCTCTGGCCTGTACGCCAGTTTTGTATGCACAAATAAATAAATCTTAAAAAAAAAAATCAGAATAAAGTCTTTAACTTAGTTAATGGTATTGTGTTAACATTAATTTCTTAGTTTTGAAAATTGTGCTATGATTATGTAAAATAATCAGGGAAACTATGATTATTCCCTATCAATAACTGATAGGGAAACAATAAAAGTTACACAGGAACTCTTACAATTTTTTCAACTCTTCAAGTTGGTTGTAGTTGAAAAACGTGATAAATATAATTAAGGATATTATTAAAAGAAAACACATACTTAGTACTTTTCATTTGTGAAACTTTTGTTTACACTATAGCTCGGGTATTTTTTTGTATATAGAGCGACTGGTATTTTAAAGTAGCACTCATAGTGTATATAGAATTTTGCTTTTCATTTAATGTCTTAAATTTATTGTTTTTGGTGACTAAAAATAGTCTGTTAACTTGATTTACTGTAATTTGATTGCCTGTTTCTCAGTTACTGGGTATTTAGACTCTTTTAAATTATAAATAACACTATAAATGACCACTTTTGTTTATTTTTTCATTTATTTACTGGGGATAAATTATGAAGAATAGGACTTTCAAATAAAAGAATGTGATTATTTTTGACACTTAAGATGTATTTGCTAGTGTACTTTGTGAAAATATTGGACTGATACGCAACATATTTGTGTTGTACCCCAAAGCTGTCACTATTGAGTTTTGACATTTCAATTTTTTTTTTATTTTGGTCATTATGAGGAATGATAGTTCTAAATACTTTTCTTATATTTGGAACACAAGAATCTCTTTTTCTTAAAACAACTTGATAAAACTTTGAACAGGCCTGAAGTTTTAGACAGAGATCAGCTTTCAGTATAGCTTAACAGTTTTCTAGCACATTTGAAATTTTTACTTTATCATAATTTCTGACTTTTCTGAGATTCAGAGATTTATAATATGCTGTCACAAAGATAGTACATAGTTCAAGGAATGAATGTGGGCTTTAGAAGTAGACAGACTAAGGTTTATACCTTCTAATTTCCAACTAAGTGATGTTAGTAAATTTATTCACATCTGTGTACTTCAGTTTATCTGTAAAACAAAGAACTGCAAGTTACCTTACATTGTTATTGTGAGATTTTATTTTTTAATGAAGAGTTTTTTATTTTTGCGTAGAAGAATGGGGTAGAGGCTAGAGGTGCAGGAGTGAGAGGATTTACCAGAGACAAAGTGGGGTGCAGAACAGGAAGATTTACTGAAATACTGTAAAGGGGAAGAGTGGGCAAGACAAGAGGTCTGTTGTGCCTTATGTGGATTAGCTTCCTTGCCCAGAATTGCCAGTAACTTTGATAATGATGAGATTTAACACTATTGGGAAATGTCTTATTTTAAAATTAACAAATTTTAATTTAAATTGTTAAAGTTAAATTTAATAAACCCCTGGTGGTACAGGGGTTAAGACTTAGTATTATCAAGTTATTGCCAGCCACTATAGCATGAGTTTGATCCCAGCCAGGGAGCTAACCCACATGGTACAGCAGACCTCTCCTGTCTTGCCACTGCTCCCCCCAGCAGTGGGTTTCTGTAGATCTGCCTCTTCTGCTTCCCACTCTGTCTCTGGCGAATCCTCTCACCCCTTGCACCTCTGATCTATACCCCAGTTCTTGTATGCATAAATAAATAATAACTTAAAAATAAAAATAAAATTAGGTGCCTTAGCATCTAATAGGTTCTCATTGTTAATTTCTCTCACTATTCCTGCAATTTTTCTTCTATTATTTGTTTTTCAGGTTTGTTTTGTAAAAGTATGTTTTGTGGTGTTATTCAGCATTACAGTAAAGTTTCTCATTTAGAAGGCATTTTTATTTTTTGTTATTAAACATTTTGGTATCCTTAGTGATTCGTATTTCCGTAAGAAAGAAATGGATCTTAACATTTACTGAGAATGTATTATGTGCCAACCTCTGCTTGATGCTTCACAATTAAAACTTGACCTGCAACTTGTTTGTTTTCCATTGAAATGAATGATCTTGGTCTTCAGGGCCAAAGCCAGGTCTAGCAATTTGTTCTTTGTGGCACAGTGATATAACTAATCTGTATTATAGAATAACACCATTTGATTTTCTTATTGAATTTCAGGGACAGAGAATTCTGGAAAGGTTGATATTCCTACCAAGGATCTGCTTCCTCATCAAGAATTGAGAATTAAGTCGGGTTTGGAGAAAGCTATCAAGCATAAAGACAAACTGTTAGAGTTTGACAGAACTAGGTATGATATGTTTAGAATAACAATTGGTAAGAAATAAATTAGTTCACATATTTTGGCCATTGAAACATCTGGGGTTTGATACCTTCTTAGGGTGGAGTATGAAAGAGTTAACAGTAAATGAAGAGCTGGATGCACTTCTTGGGACACCTACATCTTGTTTTTCAATCATTTTTCATTTTCATTTATTTATACATACAAAAACTGGGGTGGGCACTCCTTGGTGGTGCAGTGTGTTAAAGCATAACACTATGAAGCTATCCGCAGCCACTGCCACTGCAGCATGAGTTCAATCCCTGACTGGGGAGTTGACCCACCTTGCACGACAGACCTTTCCTGTCCTACTTGATGCTCCCCTCAGCAGTGTATTTCAGTCAGTCAGCTTGTTCTGCTCCCCACTCTGTCTTTGGTGGATCCTCTTACCCCTCCATACCTCTGGACTGTACCCCAGTTCTTGTATGCATAAATAAATAAATCTTAAAAAAAAAGAAGTGGGATATAGGTCAGAGGTACAGGGGGTAAGAGGATTCACCAGAGACAAAATGGGGAGCAGAACAGGCTGATCTACTGAAATATACTGCTAAGGGGAGAAGCGGGCAAGGCAGGAGAGGTCTTCTGTGCCATTTGTGGGTTAATTCTGGTTGGGGATCAAACACATGTGGTTGGTGATCGCTTTGATAGAAACCCTTGTGTTACCAGGGAGACCCTCAATCTATTTTTGAATAAGAAGCTTTCACCAAGAGAATACTACCCTGTAACTTTTTTTTTTTTTTAAAGATTGCTTTATTTGTAGAAAGACTGGGATGTAGGCCAGAGGTATAGAGGATTCACCAAAGTTAGAGTGGGGAGCAGAATAGCAGATCTACTGGAATATGCTGCTAAGGGCAGCAGTGGGCTAGACAGGAGAGGTCTCCCATACCATGTGGGTTAGCTCCTTGGCTCCTGTGGACTGAGACTTAACTCCTAGGCCACCTCGGGGGCCACAGGAAAGTCATTTTGGATGGAGGGAATTCCCTACTTATTCACTTGTAGCCACTCATTCATGGCAAACTGCAATGCTGATTGAGGGGGAATCTCTAAGAAATTGGCTCCAGGAGAAATTGGCTCCATTTCTTGTGAAGGCATATTTTACTTTTCCGTTTCCCTTTGAAACTAAATTTGTTTCTGATTCATTAATCAGTATACTAATATGTCCCCTAAATTGTCTTTTATTGTCTTACACTTTTGACATTGTGCCCACTGAGTTCTTTTTAGGAGACAAATTGATAAATTTGCTAGTTCTAGTTTCTTTCTTTTTTTTTTTTTTTAAAGATTTATTTATTTATGCATACAGAACTAGAGTACAGGCCAGAGGTGAGGGGGAGGGGGACGAAAGGATTCACCAGAGACAGAGTGGGGAGCAAAACAGGCAGATGTACCGAAATACACTGCTGAGGGGAGCAGCAGGTGAGTCAAGAGAGCCATACCATGTCACCTCCCTGGCCGAGGATTGAACTTGGGCTGCTATGGCTGTGATAGCTTCATAGTGCTATACTTTAACCCATTGTGCCAGCAGGGAGGGCCCTGCTAGTTCTATTTTCAATTTCTTTTTCTTTCTGGATAAATTTGTATTGAAACCAGTTAAGGTGCAGCAGACCTCCTGTCTCACCCGCTGCTGCCCTCAGCAGTGTACTTTGTCAATCTGCCTGTTGTGCTCCCCATTCTGTCTCTGGTAAATCACCGCCCCTGTACCTCTGGCCTGTACTCTAGTTCTGTATGCATAAATAAATAAATCTTTTTAAAAAAAGAAAACCAGTTAGTGATAAAAGAAAAATGTCTAACTAGGACTTAAACATTTTTTTAGGTCATCCAATTGTCCTTATAGAAATCCTGAATTTCATACTTATTGTAACTGACCTTTTCCTGGTGTTATAAACTGTTGGTGAGACATATTTACTATTTCAAACCATTTACTGTGAATGCATGAAATATAACTTAGAAAACTGGGGCCTCCCTGGTGGCTTAGGCTTTAAAGTCTCAACACTGTCAGGCTATGGCCAGCCACTGCAATATGAGTTCGATCCCATACCCCAGTTTTTATATGCAGAAATAAATAAAACTTTAAAAAGAAAAAGGAAATTATTCATTAAATAAACCCATTATAAGATCTGAACTCATGTTCACTCTTAATGCTTTCAAATTATTAAGTCATTCAGGCAGTGAGATCAGTTTTTTGAGATTTAGCCCTGCACAATAAAATTTATCATTAGAAACAGAATTAGGAAAAAAAAAAAGAAAGAAATAGAAGTGGAGTAGATTTCTTGATAAGTAAAAACTGGAAAAGGGTCTCCCTATTGATGTTGCCACTTTGCTGGCATGTTCAAGACAACTAGTTTCATTATTTAGGTTCATTTGTAGGACTACTGTTTTTTAAAGAGTTATTTCTTTATGAATACAAGAACTGATATATAGGCCAGAGGTGCAGGGGGTGTGAGGATTCACCAGAGACTGAGTGGGGAACAGAACAGACAGACTGACTGATACATACTGCTAAGGGGAGCAGCAATGATCTAGACAGGAGAGGTCTACTGTGCCATGTGGGTCAGCTCCCTGGCTGGGGATTGAACTCATGCTACTGTGGCTGCCAGTAGCTTGACAGTGCTGAGACTTAACCCCTTGCACCTACAGGGAGGCCCCCATAGAACTAATTTTCTCAGAAACATTCTTAAAATTCCTACTTTGTTGCCCAAAAGTAGATGACTGGATTAGAAAGATGTGGTACATATATACAATGGAATATTACTCAGCAACCAAAAAAGAGAAACACATGTCT